GGCGGCGCAACCCCTCTTTCCTGGAAAGGGCCCCACTCTGCGCGGGGCTTTCGCCACTCCTCGCAGGTTGCGCAGACCTCAGAGGGCAAATACGAGAGGCTCCCGGGCCGTGAAACGCCGAGCCCAGAGACTCCAGGCTCTGTTCGCCTGATTTGGACCGCAAAACTGAACAGAAATGTCCTCTCCCTGCGCCAGCCGCAGCACAGATCCCCTGCACGGCGCTGTATGCACGCGTGCACTCATGCGAGCCGCGATCTCGGCACACGCATCCCCAGGCTGCAGCCCCTGGTTCCCTCTGGGCAGGGGAACATGCGTCCACTCCAAAAGTCGCAGTTCTGAACGGATTCCTGACCCTCATTTCCCCCAAATCCCCCAGGCGCTGTCCCTCGCCACTCTTAGCCTCTCCCCCCTCCTGCTGCTCCGGAGCACGAAACGCGGCTCCACACTCACCCTCTCCTCGGCACTCACTGTTTTCTCCTCCGAGGAAGTTGTCTGTATTTATTGCCCTCGGGGAAAAGGCAATAACATAACATTGCGGGGGAGGGAGGCGAAAAAGGGTTAAAATATGCCCCTGAATCATCGCTAAATCATGATGCGCTTTGGGCACCCCTCTCCAAAGCGGTTCTACCTGGCTGGAGGATAAAATATAGGAGTTGTTGCTACATATGTTTTGAAATGAAGGGTTTGGTACTAATCTTCTGGGGTGCTGGGCTGTGTGAATAGAACCTTTCCAAAGCCCTGAGTAAGGAGCCTCAATCCACAAGAGAGGTGGGATTTAAGATACGCCTTTTCGTTTCTTCATCAGCTTTAGGTGCAACGTGAAATGTTTTGATGTGGACCCTATCCACCTCAAACGTGTGTGATGCCTGATATTCCTGAAGAATTTTAGAGCTTCTATGGGCTATAAAACTAGACGTATAAAAGTTAGACATGGTAGCACTCATAACTGTAGCGGCAAAGTTCTGTTTTGTGCACAATGGCATAAAGTCTCTGTGCCAGCAGAGAGACAAGCTAGGCTAAGGAAAGGAAGGGAATATGCTGTCCTGGTAGTAGTGCCTAAGAAGATGAGGGTGATATACTGTAAGCTATAATGCTTTGCTCTACAAGCACCTTCCACAAGTCACAGAGAGCTTCCTAAATTACTGCAAAAGTATTCTGTGGAGCATAAAGGCAGCACATCTCGAAGAATGCTGCTGCTGTTTAAATCCCCAGGAACCCACACGAGCCCACCCTCCTTGTAAGAGAGCCCCCTCTGAGGGAGAATCAAAGTGCCCTGTACTGCCCACAGCAGCCAAAGACAACAACTTCTGGGTCACAGGTAGCAAAAAAGAAATGGGGTGTAAAGATTTCAGCTAACCTTTGGCAACTCAGTCCCCCCCAACGTCTAACGTTAGAAAGCAAAGCCAGAAAACGTCTATGAAATGAGGAGCAAACACCTGTTTCTGGAATTCCAAAGAAAATACGCAGAACGAGCCTATGGCAGTTTTGTTTGCCGTTCCACCACGGCTTGCAGGGGTAAACCAGAGCAGCAGGCTTTCTTTCAGCAGCCTTTACTACAGTGTACAATGGTAACTTTGAAACGGATAATTCTTCAAAATTTACAAAAGTGATACAGAAGCACCAACATACACTTGCTTTTGAGCTTATTAAGGGAGCACTTTGTAATAGGCAAACTGGAGTACTTTGTCTCTAGAACTGATTTTTTTTAGTTTAATAGGACAGTTTCCACGGCAACGTGAACGGAACAGATTGTTCATTGACTTCACTACATTTCTATTAAACATCTTTTCTCTGTAGTTAGGCCTGCCTCTTGAGCTCTTTCATCTACTTGGATTCATTTGCATTATCTCTTTTTTGCCTTAAACTAGATTGGACTCCACCTTTCTGTGCACTTACTTCTTTCTCTCTTTCTCTCTCCACCCCCAATTGCTAAAGTTTTTTTTTTTCGTTATTCACTGTCACTCACGGATGCATCAATCTACATTTACAGCTCTAACTCTAAATCTATTGAACAATTAATTTCGATGCAAGAAAAAAACGGCATCGTGTCGATTTATTTCCTTCCTCGGGGCGCAGGGGGGACTGGAAAGGAGAGTGGAAAGGACAAGATTTGTTTTGCAATGTTATATTTAACTTAATTTCGTTAGCCGGCTTGGTTTTCAGGAAAGTACATTTTGTAATCACAGGAAAGGGATTCTCCGAGCGGAGAGCAGTGATTTTTTTTCTGTTGTCGCCCCGCTGAACTCTCCTATATCCCATTCTCTGCTTTTTTGTATGTTTAGGAAATAAGGAGAAAAGCTGTCCCAGATGCATCAGTTCCCTCCTGTCTGTTAATTTGCGCGATTCGCACCACGGAGGGGTTCATCTCCTGGCTCCACGGCGGTGCTTTGCATCCGGGACTAATATTTCTCTGCCGAAAGTGGCTAGATCCAGCCACACACGCGCAAAACCTGTCACAGGAATTTCGCGATTATTCCTGAAATCCTCCCGGCCGTGCAGCTGACACATCGGGGATTCCTAGAAAAGGCTGTGCGATAAAGCGAAGGCAGGCAGGTCCTTGAAATGTTGTCTGCTCCTGGCAAAGAAGACACAGGCTGCTTGGGCATTTTGAAATGGAATTAATTAATTTTTTTACTTTTTTTTTTTTTTAAAAAAAAAGCGCTGGTTTTCTGTAGAATTTCAAGGAGCTTCAGAAAATCCGGTCATACTTCTTTGGTAGAGAAAAGAACGGCCAGAGATTTTGAAACGGATAGAGAGAAATATGTTTTGTCCCTTGGAAATGCGGCACTTCTGGATACACAGCTGCTTGAACAAAGATAACGATATATTGAATTCTCTCTTCCTTCTCTGTATGTCGATAGCCCTGTATTAACAGGCATATTTATAACACACAAACAGTGATATAAATTACACTGTGCATTTATATAGGGGTGCACATATATGCATATATGTATATACCTAGTGCATGTGCCTGAGTGTCTAACATGCATCATGTTCCATCTATATACAATATTTGTATTTGTATAACCACATACTTACTTGCCACGTTGATCTATTCAAATTATATATACCGTGTGCTTAAAATATAAATAGCTATAACGCACATAGTGTTGCCGTTGCTTATATTTATACCTGTGCTATATTTATGCGCCCGTATTTATAGATCCGTACAATATTTATATCCGCGCCCACGACTATATAGATGACTACATTTGTGTATTTGTCCGGATGTATTTCTAGCCGCGTTTTTAGCGTCTACGAGTGCCGGCAAGCATCCCCGGCGGGCAGGATCCCCCTCGCTGGTGTTTCCCGTCTGTAAACTCCCTGCCCATTCCCATGTGCTCCAGAAATACTGGATAAAAAGGGGAAAAGGCTGCGGGCGGCTCGGGGG